GTGTGTGCAAAATTGCAAGAACAAGGGCCTAGCCTGTGCAAAATTAAAATAACAAGGGCCTAGCGAGTGCAAAATAGCAAGAACAAGGGCCTAGCGTGTGCAAAAAATCAAGAACAAGGGCCTAGCGTTCGCAAAAGAGCAAGAACAAGGGCCTAGCGTGTGCAAAATAAAAAGAACAAGGGTCTAGCATGTGCAAATTTGCAAGAAGAAGGGCCTAGCGTGTGCAAAATAAAAAGAACAAGGGCATAGCGTGTGCAAAATAGCAACAACAAGGGTCTAGCGTGTGCAAAATAGAAAGAACAAGGGCCTAGCGTGTGCAAAATAAAAAGAACAAGGGCCTAGCGTGTGCAAAACTGAAAGAACAAGGGCCTAGCGTGTGCAAAATTGCAAGAACAAGGGCCTAGCAAGTTCAAAATAGCAAGAGCAAGGGCCTAGCGTGTGCAAAAAATCAAGAACAAGGGCCTAGCGTTCGCGAAATAGCAAGAGCAAGGGCCTAGTGTGTGCAAAATAAAAAGAACAAGGGTCTAGCATGTGCAAAATTGCAAGAACAAGGGCCTAGCATGTGCAAGATAAAAAGAACTGGGGCATAGCGTGTGCAAAATAGCAAGAACAAGGGCCTAGCGTGTGCAAAATAAAAAGAACAAGGGCCTAGCGGGTACAAAATTGCAAGAACAAGAGCCTAGCGTGTGCAAAATTGCAAGAACAAGGGTCTAGCGTGTGCAAAATTGCAAGAACAAGAGCCTAGCAAGTGCAAAATAGCAAGAGCAAGGGCCTAGCGTGTTCAAAAAAGCAAGAACAAGGGCCTAGCGTGTGCAAAATTGCAAGAACAAGGGTCTACCGGGTGCAAAATTGCAAGAACTATTTCGCGAACGCTAGGCCCTTGTTCTTGTTTTTTTGCACACGCTAGGCCCTTGCTCTTGCTTTTTTGCACTCGCTAGGCCCTTGTTCTTGCAATTTTGCACGCGCTAGGCCCTTTTTCTTGCAATTTTGCACACGCTAGGCCCTTGTTCTTTTTATTTTGCACACGCTAGGCCCTTGTTCTTTTTATTTTTCACACGCTAGGCCCTTGTTCTTTTTATTTTGCACACGTTAGGCCCTTGTTCTTGCAATTTTGCACATGCTAGACCCTTGTTCTTTTTATTTTGCACACGCTAGGCCCTTGTTCTTGCTATTTCGCGAACGCTAGGCCGTTGTTCTTGATTTTTTGCACACGCTAGGCCCTTGCTCTTGCTATTTTGCACTCGCTAGGCCCTTGTTCTTTTTATTTTGCACACGCTAGGCCCTTGTTCTTTTTATTTTGCACACGCTAGGCCCTTGTTCTTTTTATTTTGCACACGCTAGGCCTTTGTTCTCGCTATTTTTCACACGCTATGCCCTTGTTCTTTTTATTTTGCACATGCTAGGCCCTTGTTCTTGCAATTTTGCACATGCTAGACCTTTGTTCTTTTTATTTTGCACACGCTAGGCCCTTGTTCTTGCTATTTCGCGAACGCTAGGCCCTTGTTCTTGATTTTTTGCACACGCTAGGCCCTTGTTCTTGCAATTTTGCACATGCTAGACCCTTGTTCTTTTTATTTTGCACACGCTAGGCCCTTGTTCTTGCTATTTCGCGAACGCTAGGCCGTTGTTCTTGATGTTTTGCACACGCTAGGCCCTTGCTCTTGCTATTTTGCACTCGCTATGCCCTTGTTCTTGCAACTTTGCACACGCTAGGCCCTTGTTCTTGCAATTTTGCACACGCTAGGCCCTTGTTCTTTTTATTTTGCACACGCTAGGCCCTTGTTCTTTATATTTTGCACATGCTAGGCCCTTGTTCTTGCTATTTTGCATACGCTATGCCCTAGTTACTTTTATTTTGCACACGCTCGGCCCTTGTTCTTGCAATTTTGCACATGCTAGACCCTTGTTCTTTTTATTTTGCACAGACTAGGCCCTTGCTCTTGCTATTTCGCGAACGCTAGGCCCTTGTTCTTGTTTTTTTGCACATGCTAGGCCCTTGCTCTTGGTATTTTGCACTCGCTAGGCCTTTGTTCTTGCAGATTTGCACACGCTAGGCCCTTGTTCTTTCAATTTTGCACACGCTAGGCCCCTGTTCTTTTTATTTTCCACACGCTAGGCCCTAGTTCTTTTTATTTTGCACACACTAGGCCCTTGCTCTTGCTATTTTGCACACGCTATGCCCTTGTTCTTTTTATTTTGCACACGCTAGGCCCTTGTTCTTGCAATTTTGCACATGCTAGACCCTTGTTCTCTTTATTTTGCACACGCTAGGCCCTTATTCTTGCTATTTTGCGAACGCTAGGCCCTTGTTCTTGATTTTTTGCACACGCTAGGCCCTTGCTCTTGCTATTTTGCACTCGCTAGGCCCTTGTTCTTGCAATTTTGCACACGCTAGGCCCTTGTTCTTGCAATTTTGCACACGCTAGGCCCTTGTTCTTTTTATTTTGCACACGCTAGGCCCTTGTTCTTTTTATTTTTCACACGCTAGGCCCTTGTTCTTGCTATTTTGCACACGCTAGGCCCTTGTTCTTGCAATTTTGCACATGCTAGACCCTTGTTTTTTATATTTTGCACACGCTAGGCCCTTGTTCTTGCTATTTCGCGAACGCTAGGCCCTTGTTCTTGATTTTTTGCACATGTTAGGCCCTTGCTCTTGCTATTTGGCAATCGCTAGGCCCTTGTTCTTGCAATTCTGCACACGCTAGGCCCTTGTTCTTGCAATTTTGCACACGCTGGGCCCTTGTTCTTTTTATTTTGCACACGCTAGGCCCTTGTTCTTTTTATTTTGCACACGCTATGCCCTTGTTCTTTTTATTTTGCACACGCTAGGCCCTTGTTCTTTTTATTTTGCACACGCTAGGCCCTTGTTCTTGCTTTTTTGCACACGTCATGCCCTTGTTCTTTTTTTTTTGCACACGCTAGGCCCTTGTTCTTGCAATTTTGCACATGCTAGACCCTTGTTCTTTTTATTTTGCACACGCTAGGTCCTTGTTCTTGCTCTTTCGCGAACGCTAGGCCCTTGTTCTAGTTTTTTTGCACACGCTAGGCCCTTGCTCTTGCTATTTTGCACTCGCTAGGCCCTTGTTCTTGCAATTTTGCACACGCTAGGCCCTTGTTCTTTTTATTTTGCACACCCTAGGCCCTTGTTCTTTTTATTTTGCACACGCTAGGCCCTTGTTCTTGCAATTTTGCACATGCTAGACCCTTGTTCTTTTTATTTTGCACACGCTAGGCCCTTGTTCTTGCTATTTCGCGAACGCTAGGCCCTTGTTCTTGATTTTTTGCACACGCTACGCCCTTGCTCTTGCTATTTTGCATTCGCTAGGCCCTTGTTCTTGCAATTTTGCACACGCTAGGCCCTTGTTCTTGCAATTTTGCACACGCTATGCCTTTGTTCTTTTTATTTTGCACACGCTAGGCCCTTGTTTTTTTTATTTTGCACACGCTAGGCCCTTGTTCTTGCTATTTTGCATACGCTATGCCCTAGTTCTTTTTATTTTGCACACGCTAGGCCCTTGTTCTTGCAATTTTGCACATGCTATACCCTTGTTCTTTTTATTTTGCACACACTAGGCCCTTGCTCTTGCTATTTCGCGAACGCTAGGCCCTTGTTCTTGATTTTTTGCACACGCTAGGCCCTTGCTTTTGCTATTTTGCACTCGCTAGGCCCTTGTTCTTGCAATTTTGCACACGCTAGGCCCTTGTTTTTTCAATTTTGCACACGCTAGTCCCTTGTTCCTTTTTTTTTTGCACACGCTAGGCCCTTGTTCTTTTTATTTTGCACACGCTAGGCCCTTGTTCTTGCTATTTTGCACACGCTATTGTCAGATTATCATAGCTGATGCATGTTTGTAGGCTATAGTGGGGTAGCACATATGGGGTACAGCTTTCTAGGGTTGTATTTGTACCCAACTCTGACTTAGTCATTTCATTCCTGTTCATTGATTCTCACATGGTATAGAGCGGGTCCTTCCTAAGGACCGTTTTTTTTTTTTAAGGGCCCACCCACGACTTTTTTATTTTTTTTCCTGCCCGGAGCGCGCCCTATTCTCCCCGAGGCGCGCTCCCCCCTAGTGCTTGTCGCGCTGCCCTTGTGGCGCCCCGCGAGTCGCGCGCACGACTCCTTTTTTTCGCGCGCGCGGCCCGGGCCCCACGTCGTGCTAGCCTTAAGGCCACGCCGCGCCGCCCTCTCGGCTCTGCTGCGCCCCGCCGCCCTCATGCCGGCCGCGCGGCCTCTTCGTCGCTGCAGCGGGCCCCGCCACCTGACGGCCCCGCCGTCCTCTTTTGACGGCCCCGCCGTCCCCTACTCTCGGCCCCGCCGTTGCAACCTGACGGCCCCGCCACTGCACCTGTCGGCCCCGCCGCTGCACCCTGACGGCCCCGCCGTCCCCTGTCCCGGCCCCGCCGCTGCACCCTGCCGGCCCCGCCGCTGCACCTCTGTCGGCCCCGCCGCTGCACCCTGACGGCCCCGCCGTCCCCTGTCACGGCCCCGCCGTCCCCTGTCACGGCCCCGCCACTGCACCCTGACGGCCCCGGCACTGCACCAGTCGGCCCCGCCGCTGCACCCTGACGGCCCCGCCGTCCCCTGTCCCGGCCCCGCCGCTGCACCCTGCCGGCCCCGTCGCTGCACCCTGACGGCCCCGCCGTCCCCTGTCACGGCCCCGCCGCTGCACCCTGACGGCCCCGCCACTGCACCAGTCGGCCCCGCCACTGCACCAGTCGGCCCCGCCGCTGCACCCTGACGGCCCCGCCGTCCCCTGTCCCGGCCCCGTCCTGTACCCGAGCCGCCCTGCCGCCGAGCCGCCCGGGAGCCGAGCCGCCCTGCACCCGAGCCGCCCTGCCGCCGAGCCGCCCGGGAGCCGAGCCACCCAGCAGCCGAGTCGCTGAGTCGCCGAGCCGCCCTTCTGCAGAGTTGCCCGGCCTGCCCTGCCTGGTGAGCACAGTCGCACTGTCACTGCGTGCTCTTCCCCTACTGCTTGCACTGCTTCGCTGTCGTCGTCATGGCTACCCCTAGTGTCCTAGCTTTTGACGATGAGGGTCGAGCCATTGACTTTGAGGTCTGGGTAGACGACCTGCAGTTGTTTTTACAGTGCGATAGGGCAGACGGCCTCTCTCTCTTTGACCTTACCTCTGGCGCCTCTCCTGCTCCTGCTGCTGATGCTGATCCCACTGTGCGCTCTCAGTGGGCCACCCGCGATGCTGCTGCACGTCTTGCTGTGCGTCGCCACCTCCCTACCTCTGAGCGCGCGCACTTTAGTCAGTACAAGAGTGCTCAGACCTTGTACGACGCTGTAGTTGCGCGCTACTCCTCCCCTGCCACTGCTGCACTGAGCCGTCTCATGCTTCCCTACCTCTTTCCTGACCTCTCTGCCTTTCCCACTGTCGCTGACCTCATTACACACCTCCGCACTAGTGACACTCGCTACCGCGCCGCCCTTCTTGCTGAGTTCTGCGCTAAGAACCCCCCCCCCCATGTACATCGCTCTCTACTACGTAGTCGCGCGCCTCCCTGACTCCCTTCGCGTCGTCAGGGACCACTTTCTCGCAGTCTGTCCCACCACCCTCACCGTCGACCTCCTCGAGAAGGCCCTACTCGCAGCGGAGAAGAGCATAGTCGCTGTAGGTGCTTCTCGTGGTGACCCTCGCACCCCCATCTTTGAGGGGTGCTCTCCTTCCCCCTTGCTGCCCTCTGTTGCCTCTGCTGCTGCTGCCGACCTGCTTGGTCTTGAGTCGGTCGGCGCGGCGTCTGCCCCTAGTGGGAGACGTCGCTCCAGCAAGGGCAGGGGGGGCGAGGGCGCGGGTGGAGCTGGAGGGGGCGGTGGCGGTGGCGGCGGTGGCGGCGGAGGGAGTGGGGGTGGCGGCGGGACTAGTGGCGGGGGTGGTGGTGGTGGTGGCAGCAGCGGCGGAGACGGTGGTGGTGGTGCCAGCGGTGGTGGTGGAGGCAGCGGCGGAGGTGGAGGCGGCGAAGGTGGAGGCGGTGGAGGCGGCAACGGAGGTGGCGGTGGTGGTGGAGGAGGTGGAGCTGGTCGGGGTGGTATCCAACAGCGTAGCGGCGGTGGTGGTGGCCAGCGCTCGCAGCGGCAGCAGCAGCAGCGCTCGCGGGACATCCCTCCGCCTCAGCAGCTTCGTGAGTGGTACGCTGGGCGTCAGAGGGGTGGGGGTACTGGTCCCTGCACCTACGTTCTTCGTTCCGGCGACCGCGCGGGTGAGCAGTGTGGGGGTGCCCACGCCGCCCAGCGCTGCTTTGGCCGCCTGACGGACGCTTGGCGTCAGCAGTTCCCTGGGGCTAGTGAGATCCCTCGCTGGGATGAGCTTCTTAGGGCTGGTGTAGCGATCTTTGATCTTGATTTTGATGCTATCCTTGCTGCTATGTATGCTGTGACTTATAGTGAGGAGAATGAGGGTTACCGGTGTTTCCAGCCCGACCCGGGCATTGGTACTGCTGCACTAGGTGCTTGTGAGGCTGCTGCTCTAGGTGCCAGTGCGTCTGCGCTCTCAGGTACTGGTGAGACTGCGCTCTCAGGTACTGTGTCGTCCTCGTCCTCCCTCACTTTCACACTTGACTCCGGGGCTTCTCGCTCCTTCTTTCGAGACCGCACTACCCTTACGCCACTCGGCCGGCCGGTTGCAGTCTCCCTTGCTGACCCCTCTGGGGGTCCTGTCCTGTCTCACTTCTCCACTGTCCTCCCGTGTCCGGCTGCCCCTTCGGGCACCCTGTGTGGTCTGTACCTTCCCTCGTTCTCTACAAACTTGGTGAGTGGCGCGGACCTGCAGGATGTGGGGGTTCACCAGTTCACTCCTGCGAGTCAGCGGGTGACCCACTGCACGGAGGCACGCACAGGCCGACACCTGGCCACGTTCTCGCGTTGGCCGGGGTCGAGTCTCTACACCCTGACCGTTGAGTCTCCTCCTGTCCCTGCGTCTGGTCAGGTGGCTGCGTCAGGTCAGGTGCTTGCTGCTGCGTCCCGGTCAGGTCCTGAGTCTGCCCCCTGTTCTTGTCGCCTCCTGTCTCACGAGACTCTCCTGTGGCACCACCGTCTTGGCCACCCCTCCTTGCCCCGTCTTCGGAGCATGGCTTCCCGTGTCCTTGTCTCTGGTCTTCCCCAGTCTCTCCCTCCTCTCCCCTCCGGGCCAGGACCTTCCTGTGTCCCCTGTGTCGAGGGTCGCCTCCGGGCTACTCCTCACTCCTCCCACTTCCCCCCGACAGAGGCTCCCCTGCAGACGCTTCACATGGATGTGTGGGGCCCAGCCCCCGTCCGTGGGCAGGGTCACGAGCGCTACTTCCTGTTGGTGGTTGACGACTACTCGCGTTACACCACAGTCCTCTCCTTGCGCAGCAAGGGTGCGGTCACTGAGGTGCTGATCGACTGGATCCGCGAGGCTTGTCTCCAGCTCAGGAAGAGCTTCAGCTCGGACTTTCCTGTTCTGCGTCTGCAGTCGGACAGAGGCGCAGAGTTCTCTTCTCGCCTTCTGCGAGACTACTGTCGTGCACGGGGGATCCGCCAGACCTTCACGCTTCCGGACTCACCACAGCAAAATGGGATTGCTGAGCGCCGCATTGGCATGGTCATGGATGTCGCTCGTACGTCCATGATGCATGCGGCTGCCCCCCATTTTATGTGGCCGTTTGCGGTGAGGTACGCGGCGCATCAGCTCAACCTTCACCCCCGGGTCTCTCGGCCTGCGATGTCCCCAGCCTTGCTGTGGACGGGGAAGGTTGGCGATGCGTCTGTGTTCCGTGTCTGGGGATCTCGGGCGTTTGTCCGCGACTTGTCTGCGGACAAGCTGTCCCCTCGTGCTGCTCCCTGTGTCTTCCTTGGCTTCCCCACTGACGCCCCAGGGTGGCAGTTTTACCACCCCTCCTCTCGTCGTGTTCTGTCCTCCCAGGACGTCACGTTCGACGAGTCAGTCCCCTTCTACCGTCTCTTCCCCTACCGCACTCCTTCCCTCCCCCCTCCCCCGGACTTCCTTGTGCCGGTTCCCCCCTCGGTAGACCCCCTCCCCCCTCAGGTTCCTGCCCCCTCAGGTGTGTCCCAGGTAGACGCCGTTGACCCGGTCGAGGTTAGTGGTGACTCTGGTGCTGCTGCGGGTGCTGAGCCTGGGGGTGCTGACTTTGGGGGTGCTGTGCGCGGGGGTGCTGAGCCTGGGGGTGCTACTGCTGGGGGTGCTGGGCCTAAGGGTGCTACTGCGGAGGGTGCGGAGCCTGGGGGTGCTGAGCCGGGGGGTGCTGTGCCTGGAGGTGGTGGGTCTGGGGGTGCTGAGTCGGGAGCTGCTGAGCCTGGGGGTGCTGAGCTGGGAGCTGCTGAGCCTGGGGGTGCTGCGTCTGGAGCTCCTGAGCCTAGGGTTTCTCCTGCTGCTGCGTCTCGCCGGGAGCCCCTCTCTCCACAAGAGCTGCGCGAGTGGTTCGCTCGCCGCTGGAGGCGTGCTGCTGAGTCTGGAGGTGCTGCTGGAGCTGGAGCTGGAGCTTCTTCGATGGTCGAGGGTGCGGGTGCTGCCGGTCCTGGAGCTGCTGGACCTGCGGGTCCACCTGGAGCTGGAACTGCTGAGGGCGTTGGTGCTGAGCCTACTGCTGTTGGTCCTGCCGCTGGAGGTGTGGGTGGCGCTGGTGCTGTCGCTGAGGGTGCTGGTGCTGTCCCTGCTGAGTCTGGAGCTGCCGCGCGGCCTCGGCCGTACTTCGTTCCGCTCCTGCAGCAGGTTCTTGGTCTTTCTCCTCCAGTAGAGGGTCCACCGCCTGTCCAGTCGCAGTCCCAGCTGGAGCCTTCCTCTCCACTGCCTGCTCCCTCTCCTTACACTGGTCCTACTGGAGGTCTTGCTGAGCGTCATGAGCCTGCGTCTCGTCCCGCGTCGCCTGTTCGTGCTGCTCGCGCTAGTGGTCGCAGTTCGCGTCAGCGTCCTCCTCCTGTCCCTGGCACCCACTGGATGTCTTTGCGTCCGTCCACTGCTCCTCTGCATGCCCCTTTGCCTTCTCCTCCTGAGTCCTCTCTTCCTGCGCTTGCCGACCCTGAGTCGGACTCTCTTCGTGCTGCCAGTCCTACTGTCACGCGTCTGCTTGCTACTGTCGTCACTGACCCCTCTTTTGAGTCCACTGCTGCGTCTGCTCTAGTCGCTGAGCTCGTCGACTTTGCTGCTCGCTGTCGTCTCGACTACGCTGCTAGTCTTGTTGCTGAGTCTGCGTCTGTCTGTCCTCCGTCCGTCGGGGGTGAGTGTGCTCTTGGCACGGACGTCCTAGAGGACAGGCAGGAGGAGTTACAGTGTCTAGCGGCTGCTTCACCTCGTCTCGCGTCTGTACTGCTTGCCCCTGAGGGAGACCCGGATGCACTAGACATCCCGACTCCGCGTTCTTACGCGGAGGCCGTAGAGGGTCCCTACTCCTCTCAGTGGCAGGCAGCTATGGATGCAGAGATGGCTTCCTGGAAGTCCACAGGCACCTACGTTGACGCGGTTCCCCCTCCTGGGGCGAACATCGTCAGTGGCATGTGGATCTTCAGGGTGAAGCGGCCGCCGGGCTCTCCACCTGTCTTCAAGGCACGGTACGTTGCTCGTGGCTTCAGTCAGCGGCAGGGAGTTGACTACTTTCAGACCTTCTCTCCCACCCCGAAGATGACTACTCTTCGGGTGCTGCTGCACATAGCCGCTCAGCGCGACTACGAGCTTCACTCTCTCGACTTCAGCACTGCGTTCTTGCAGGGTAGCCTGCACGAGGAGATCTGGCTTCGCCGTCCACCTGGCTTCACCGGGACTTTCCCTCCTGGCACCCAGTGGAGCCTCCGACGGCCAGTCTACGGTCTCCGCCAGGCACCGCGTGAGTGGCACGACACACTGAGGACTACGCTTGCGGCCCTTGGGTTTGCTCCTTCTACTGCTGACCCGTCGCTGTTTCTTCGCACCGACACTTCCCTGCCGCCGTTCTACATCCTCGTGTACGTCGACGACTTGGTCTTTGCCACAGCAGACACTGCTGGACTCGCCTACGTAAAGTCCGAACTGCTGAAGAGACACACGTGCACAGACCTGGGTGAACTGCGCAGCTACCTTGGCTTGCAGATCACTCGGGACAGAGCACGCCGCACCATTACCTTGACTCAGTCACACATGGTGCAGCAGGTCCTTCAGCGCTTCGGCTTCACGTACTCCTTGCCTCAGGCCACTCCTCTGCCTACTCGCCACTCACTCTCAGCTCTGCCTTCAGATGAGTCCGTAGAGTCGAGTGGTCCGTATGCAGAGCTTGTTGGCTGCCTCATGTACCTAATGACCTGCACACGACCTGACCTTGCATACCCTCTGAGCATTCTTGCACGCTATGTTGCTCCTGGGAGACACAGACCAGAGCACATGGCTGCAGCAAAGAGGGTATTGCGCTACCTGTGCAGTACGTCGGGCATGGGGCTAGTGCTTGGAGGGCGGAGTCCAGTGGTCCTTACCGGCCACGCGGACGCTTCTTGGGCTGACGACCAGGCTACGCAGCGGTCGTCACAGGGTTACACCTTCAGCCTTGGTTCCGGCTCTGTCTCGTGGCGGTCTACTCGCTCGTCTTCGGTTCTCGGCTCCAGTTGTGAGGCTGAGATCTACGCCGGGGCCATGGCTGCACAGGAGCTTCGCTGGCTCACCTACCTGCTGACAGACCTTGGAGAGCCGCCTCGTTCTCCTCCAGTGCTGTACGTAGACAACAAGGCCATGCTGGCCTTGTGTCGAGAGCAGCGCTTGGAGCACAGAACGAAGCACATTACTCTCCGCTACTTCCTTGCTCGTGAGCTGCAGCAGCGTGGTCAGTTGCGACTTGCGTACGTGGCCTCTGAGGCCAACACTGCTGATGTGTTCACCAAGGCACTCGCGCCTTGTGACCATCAGCGCTTTTGCACCCAGCTGGGTCTTGTGCCTGTCTTGCCTCACTTGCTCTCCTCTTGACTTCACTTGTATTGTGACATATATATATACCTGCTCTTGCTTGTCTAGTTTTATATATATGTCTGTACTCCTGCATGTGAACTGGCCTCTGGCCCTGCTCTTGTGCTCGGACTGTGTAGTGACTTTGTGATCCACCCTGAGCTTGCTTTGCTTTGCTTTGCTTGACTGGTCTTGTGACCCCTTGTTCTCCCCCACTTTGCCTATGGGGGTGTGTCAGATTATCATAGCTGATGCATGTTTGTAGGCTATAGTGGGGTAGCACATATGGGGTACAGCTTTCTAGGGTTGTATTTGTACCCAACTCTGACTTAGTCATTTCATTCCTGCTCATTGATTCTCACAGCTATGCCCTTGTTCTTTTTATTTTGCACACGCTAGGCCCTTGTTCTTGCAACTTTGCACATGCTATACCCTTGTTCTTTTTATTTTGCACACGCTAGGCCCTTGTTCTTGCTATTTTGCGAACGCTAGGCCCTTGTTCTTTTTATTTTGCACACGCTAGGCCCTTGTTCTTTTTATTTTGTAGACGCTAGGCCCTTCTTCTCGCTATTTCGCGAACACTAGGCCCTTGTTTTTGATTTTTTGCACACGCTAGGCCCTTGCTCTTGCTATTTTGCACTCGCTAGGCCCTTGTTCTTGCAATTTTGCACACGCTAGGCCCTTGTTCTTGCAATTTTGCACACGCTAGGCCCTTGTTGTTTTTATTTTGCACACGCTAGGCCCTTGTTCTTTTTATTTTGCACACGCTAGGCCCTTGTTATTGCTATTTTGCACACGCTATGCCCTTGTTCTTTTTATTTTGCACATGATATGCCCTTGTTCTTGCAACTTTGCGCATGCTAGACCTTTGTTCTTTTTATTTTGCACACGCTAGGCCCTTGTTCTTGCTATTTCGCGAACGCTAGGCCCTTGTTCTTGATTTTTTGGACACGCTAGGCCCTTGCTCTTGCTATTTTGCAATCGCTAGGCCCTTGTTCTTGCAATTTTGCACACGCTAGGCCCTTGTTCTTGCAATTTTGTACACGCTAGGCCCTTGTTCTTTTTATTTTGCACACGCTAGGCCTTGTTCTTTTATCTTGCACACGCTAGGCTTGTTCTTGCAATTTGCACATGCTATACCCTTTTCTTTTTATTTTGCACACACTAGCCCTTGCTCTTGCTATTTCGCGAACGCTGGGCCCTTGTTCTTGATTTTTTGCACACGCTAGGCCCTGCTCTTGCTATTTTGCACTCGCTAGGCCCTTGTTCTTGCAATTTTGCACACGCTAGGCCCTTGTTCTTGCAATTTGCAAACGCTAGGCCGTTGTTCTTTTTATTTTGCACACACTAGGCCCTTGTTCTTTTATTTTGCACACGCTAGGCCCTTGTTCTTGCAATTGCACATGCTAGACCCTTGTTCTTTTATTTTGCACACGCTAGGCCCTTGTTCTGCTATTTCGCGAACGCTAGCCCTTGTTCTTGATTTTCTGCACACGCTAAGCCCTTGCTCTTGCTATTTTGCACTCGCTAGGCCCTTGTTCTTGCAATTTTGCACACGCTAGCCCTTGTTCTTGCAATTTT